CCAAGCATCCTTCTTGCTTCTCTAATAAAATATGGCTGTAACTGTCCCTCAGTGCATGTTAGGTGTTATAGTGCTATACCTGGCTGCACTCTTTATAACTGTCATCAGTCATCTTGACGTGCCTAATAGTTCGTTTGCCTAACAGCGAAATAGGCCTGTGCGGTAATGCCTGTTAGAACAAAGCCTTACGAAGAGCGTCATTTGGAGCACGAAAGGCAATGCTGCACGTTGCAATGCATGCTGGGAAGCATGTCATAGGGGACAGGAACCTCCGTGGGAGAAGCATTGGTTTTCAGCAACTGATTTGTTTCTCGCTTGACGCAATAGTTGTCTAGCAAAAAGTTTTTTTTTTTTTTTCATATCACGCTCTTTATCAGTGCCTCACACCCATGATGTGTGTAACAATGTCGTTGTTATGTTTTTTTGTCTCATCCTTTGAGCAAATAAACAGCAGTAACATAAAAAAGCAGAGTTCATAAGATGCCCCCTGAACACTGACACACCTGAGTGCCTTTAAGCAACAAAAAGAAGTAAATATTGAGGTATTTCTTTTGTCCCAATCAAACTGAGATATGCACTTTCTTGATATAGGGCCTCTGTTTAGAATTACTGTACTGGAATATGTTTGACTGCTGCTCCCGTTTACACCATTTCTCAATTGCTGAAAACCTCCGTTAGGTGGAACATATTTTCCTCGTTTCTTCAAGTTCCATCTTGTACTATTCTACTGCAGTCAAGGGTATATTGTGTTGCAGTGTAAACGATGAAGCCTCGTCTCTACTCTCTGTGCCCATTATTGATGCGGGCATTATATATGACATAGTTCAAGTAATAACTTTGCTGTAAGCGAAGATTCGCCTCTATTTTTGTGATGCCTCCCATACAATAAGGAGATTCCAAATTATCACCTTAGACATTGCGCTATTTCATGTTACAGTTTAAAGAATACTTTCTTATACTTGCCTCTCATAACTATGTTTTGAGCACATGAAGTTTTTCCGCTGTATTGAGCATATTTTGTGCTCATAAATCTCAGTTTGTGGGTTTAGTAGCCCCGAAAAAATATCTTTAGAGAATTCAAGTACATATAGCTTTACTAATAAGTTATGCAAATCAAATAAAAAAGGGAGATTTTATGTGGTCAATTTTGTCAAGTGGTTGCAAAGATATGGTTAGAAAGCTAAGTTTGAAACTAAGTTATGATCTGTTCGACCTCGGGCTGCTCGAACTAGTGGTTTTTAACCTCCACTACGTCGTAACACCCCCAAACCTGATGGTATTCTCAAGGAATCATTTTGCGAGGGATATCATTTTATCACTCGCACAATTTCGTGTGACAAGCTCCCTGGCTCAATTCCGTGCCTGTGATGCTGGTTGCCATCACATTAGTGTGTTCAGGGTCGAGCCATACTAAACCTTAATTTCAGAAATGTAGGCTGTGTACACTGTCGTGTTTTATTGCTTAGCTGCACGTAATCTTGTAATGGCAGTCACTACGGAATTCCTAGCCAGTTTTTAACTCATGGCTGCTGCATATTCACAATAACAGCCATTTGGCTGCAGTGCATGCAATTCCACAACAGAATGAGGAGTCATTGGTGGCTTTGCCTTTTAAGTTGTCGTACCTGTTAAACTGTAACGAGTGCTTGCTTGGTAATGTCTGAGCTGCGATGAGTACAGGTGATTGAGAGCAGACCTGTGCAAAACTGAGCACATATTACAGCGCCATAGCTGTCCCAGAAGACTTGTTCGTGCAAATTATTTAAGAGCAGTATTGCCTATGTATGTAGCACTCGTCAATACCCATCCATTTCTCCAAGTTTGGCTGAGGATTCACAGAGTTTCCTAAAATTATTTAGAGGGGAGTTTGGCACTGCGATCGTTCAGCGATCGTGGCAATAATGGGTAGTACATGGATTTGCCTAGTCTTTGTGCTTGCCGGCTGCGAGCGCACTTGTGGCTCTGTTGATTGCAGTGTCTCAGGTTTTGTTTCTCGAATGAAAGAACAAATCATTTTGAGCTTCGTGACCGGATATGAATTAGTGTCTACAAAGGTGTTAAGGCGGCGAAGTGCAACTTCCGAACACTTGCTGATTGTTGTTTCGTGACAAAGCAGCTCCAAGCCACGCAAAATCAAACGGAGCCGAGATTACAAAAATTAGGCAAATCCACATACTACCCATTGTGCTCATGCTCGCTGAAACGCTGTGGGTTGCAGCTCCCACAGACACTGGTACCAGAGTTCCCTGTAGTCTACGTATATAAGAAACTTTATGCGAGGAAGAGGGAGTGAAGCAATACAGAACACAAACAAATAAAAACATACTCTAATTGGGACTGGACAGAAGCATGGCGACGTGGCCTAACTATTTTGTTTACTGAAGTTGGAACACCTGCACTTTCCTTAAATAATAAACCAAAGGCAGGCATTTCAGATGTCAGAGTGTGCTCTGGTGGCAGTGGTTGCATAGTAGATTGTAAGCACTTACAAAGGGCATGATGGAAAAAATCTAGACTGAATCAACAGTTCCTCCTTGGTATCTGTGGTAACACAGTTTTCTGAATGGAGAAATGCTAAAAGACAAGAGCACTCAAGTTTTCTTCTTTATTAGGAAGGCCTTGCTGTGCAGATCGCATGGGACGTCACGAGGCCACTTAATCCGTACCCATTACAGCTTTATGCTTCTATATGTACTATCAGATAGAAAAGAAACAGAAAAAAATGGAAAATTGGGACAACTTGAGGAGGATTTGTTATTTCTTTAGGTTACCCTGCTTTGTACCTTCGGGTCCTGAATGCTAGATATTGAATTACCGAATCACAGTTTGTACCTTTCTGGCGAGTAACTAGGCACACGCATTTCTTTGTGTGTATGTTTGTATGGGTATGTTGAGGGGATCAGTGACAGAATTTAAAGGACATTTTGACTGAGTAAGCTAAAAGATTTTGCTGTACCAGTGTAAAACATGTAGCTTTAACGAGACTGGTAATTTGCAGCTTACGTTCCTTGAAATTTCGTCTGCTGCAATGTGCAGACTTGGCGTATTAAAGGGTATTGTAGGATCGACCAACAAAACATGTAGTTTTTGATATTTCATTTCTAAAAAAATAATATTCTGGGTAGGAAAGCCGTGCATTGGCGAGTGTGTAGGAGTGCACCATGACACTCACTATTGGGGTGAAAATCCGTGCCTCCTCGTGGATACGAGGGATTCTTTTAGATGTTCTTGTCCATCATTGTTTCTGCATGCATGTATTTTTTGATAATTAGCATGGCTGGGTTCATCAAATGTGTGCTTATTTTCTTCCATTAATTATAAATTTTCTCACCAAAGATTTTATTATGGCATAGTCATTGTCTTACATTGTGAGCACTTTTCGCACAGTTTTCAAACTTAAAGGAAGGCAGTTTTTGAAGATTTTCTAGGATTCATATACCTTTTCTGAGAAACATTCTGATTGATTGTGCTGACATTTTCTCAGATTATAATCAACAGTCTGAATCTAAAACCTTGAAAATTGTGTGCACTTTGTTATTAAAGGAAAAAAAAAAAGATTTATTGGAATGTCTCCTTTATTGCGAGTAACAAGTGAGCACAGTTTTTTACTTGTTAGATAAATGAAGAAATCCATTCTTACAGGGTGGGAATAATACCACTACAGTCGAACCCCTTTATAAGAGACAAATGGGTATAAGAGGCACCAGTGTGCCTACAGTAAAAACGGATTGATAAGGAAATGCATATGAGGTACCCTGCTTATAAGATACATCTCATGTAAAAGACAAGAATTACTGCCCAGAGCATGTCTCTTTTAAAGGGGTATAACTGTATCATGTCAAGTTAGCATGTTTAATTTCAGGGTGTTGCTCATTTTCGTTGCTGAGAAAATGTACATTTTATTTTACGCCCCAGTCGAATATTTGGTACTCATATACAAATATGTAAGAAAACCTACAGGGTCAAAATTACCCAAAATGGAGGCTGAAAGCTTTCTTATCGAACACCCAAAATTCCGCAACAAAATATGTACCAGTTCCTGAGACGTAAAGCTGCAATTGAGATGACCCGTTCATTCTGCCATACTTGCCATAGTTCCTTAACTACATCAGAAGCGGACATCTTGCTACCCTTAGAAGCGTAGAATATCACAGGGTCTTTTGTTTAGTCTTGCTCGCAGTCTCTCTGTGTTGCTACCGTCGAGCATATTCGGTGCATTGACTCCGCACTGATATGCAAATTTCAGAAACCACTATGCCGGGGCATTGTTCACAGCAGGGCTCCATCTCGCGTGAGCCGTGCATTACTTTTGAATGCTGCATTGTGTGTAGATGAGCGAGCATGTGTGTGGTGGGTTTGTTTTTCATCCCACTGCCTTCTGCTGATGAGGAGCCAATCTCCGAAGACAGAAATATGTCAATGGTAGCGTTAAGCCTGTACTAAGCTTGCACGTTCATTCAGAGCACTTAGCCGAACTGATCTAGTTAGAACTGTTCCGGTAGCTGGCTTGATTAGTTGTTTATCTCCAGTGTTCCAGTTGAACTACCTTAGTCCGTAGAGCGCTGCCAAATCTTCTGATGCTTGCCCCTGCCTGCTGGGCAATGCTTGGCGGGAGCACTCGCACCTTTTTTTTTTCTTTCCGTCATTAGCGAGTGACACGTTGGCGTACGCGATAGCTCTTGGCAGTTTGCGAATGCAGCGCGGACACGCCTTCTGCATGCACGAGCCTCCCGCAGCGTGCCTGCTAACATCCCTTTGTATTTTCTCTTTCTCTCTCTCTTTCCCTCACCCCCTTCTTTCCACATGCACGCCTTCCTCTACTAACGTCACCGTGCTGTCTGCATGGCTACCCCGACGGCATTGCGATCTCCCACACTTCGCGACCGACTTCGGCGCTACCTCTCAGGCATCCAAGGAAGCCCGCCCCGCAAGTGGAGTCGAGATCACAAAGAAGGTCTTTCAGACTGCCTCAAAGGCTGTCGAAGCCGTGGCCGCTAAAGCCTGCGCCAACGTCGACATCAAAAAGTGGCGAAGGTAAGGCTTCTTCACGGTGGTGGCGGGGACCCAAGCTTTAAAGTGGACGTCAAGAAGGTGGCTCTGGGAACGTCTCCGAAAGAAGAGCCCCACGTCAAGAAGAGCTTGTCGGGCGGCGGCGAGAGCGACGACGGAGTGCGGGTAATTTGCCTGGAGGACCCCGGCACAGGCTTGGTGCGCGAAGTGTTCGTCACCGACGATCGTGTGCCAACCAAGGGAACGGCGTCCGGCTTGAAGGAGGAACGCCAGCTGCGGCCGACCAAGTCGGAGACAGCGGCTGGAAGGTGGCTTCACTGAGAAGAGCATACGTGACCAAGACGTCACGCGGCTGGAGCTGTCGCGGTCTCGCGAGAAGTTAGTGCCGCTCGCGGAGCAGACGCCGCCCTGAGGGGGGCGCCTACCGCAAAGGGGCGGGTGGCGCTGTGGCGGCACAGTTTTGGCCTCCCACGACGGGGAAAGGTGTGGCACCGACTAAGTCGGGTGGGGACACGATGCAGGAGGAAACCGTCGGACCTGCGGACACCAGTACACCGCGCCCAGCAGGACGAGGACCGGGTGGCTTCACTGCGAGGCAGTCGGGCCCTTACACCAAGGAGTACACATACCAGGTAAGAAACGTGTGTCTCCGAGGTTCCAGCTGTACGAAAGAAAAAGGGCTGTAACTTGTAAATGGAGCCCATTCTAGTTTCTCAACACCTTGAGCTTGTAGTGTGTATGATATGAGGTTAGCAACCTCAATTTGAAATGAGGCTTCGCAGGTGGACCGGCGTCGACGCGGCTACAATGTACTAGCGTCGCTAGTGTGGCTCTGGCCTCTTGCTGCCGGCCGCACGCAGCTCAACATGGCATGTGTGTTCCTTTCCTTATCAACTGCGCTCAAGAGTTTCCTGTCAGGAAAAGCTTCGTCGTTATTCGAACTTGCTACAGATATCGCATTTGCTATCTCATCCGTAGATTTAAACTTTTACGACTTTATAACACGAGCTTTTGCCTTTTGCATCACATAAGCTTGGTGGGTTTTTGTCATAGTTGATTTCCCGGCCCCGCACGCTAACATTGTATCATGCATACTGTTCTTGTTCAGTGCTTGAGTACGATATTTTCGACGCCCCTTCATCATTTCATATCTTGGCAAAATTTCCGGCAACAGCATCCCGAACGGCTGGCTAAGCCTAGTCAGTGTCGTTTACATTTCAGTAGTGATCGCGTGCTATCTAAGTAGTGGTTCGGTACGGAATCAACAGAACTCCTTGTGATAGCTGGACTTGAAGGAAAGGGATACATATCATTCATGAAAACGAGGGTAACACCTGTAGCACTCGAATGGGTGTTCGCATTGCGATATCTTGAAATCGGGTGCACGCGTGTGAAGTCAAACAATTGGTGTCTTTCAACGCACTGAAATTTCGAACGTGATTCGACACAGTTTCTTTGTAAGGGGCATAGTAGAGGCCATCTGAGAAGTAGTTGGTGAATTTTCGCGATAGTGCTTTCTTTTCCCGTACCCCTCCCACCATATCGTGTTCATTTCGTTGGCAATGCAGGTCTTTGGACACTAAACTTTTTTAACATTTGGAAATTTAAATGGTTGTAAGCACCACACATCGCATGCTTCGATTCTCAGACATGTGAGGCTGCATGTTCAACACGTTTTGTGCAAAAGCGGCTCTTGAAAAAAGATTGTTTTGATTATAGTGTGGTACCGCTTATAGTGTGGATATTCGGCGACTCCGGGAGCTACGTTATAAGAGGTCTACACTGTATATGCCTGGTACATGCCATCAAAAACCAAAATGACGTTGCCACGTGTCATTCCTTTTCACGCCATTTTTGGCGTATAAATTGTCTTGTCATGGCAAGAGTTTGCTTATTATTATTGTATAACAGTAATCTGCCAGCTCAAGATAAATCATATTTGCTTCTGTACCCGTTTAATGCATGAATCGGTTGATCAGGGAAGGCATTTGTGGACAGCCTGCGTGAGTAGTAATGCAGGCAAAACTTCCACGCTGAACTTCTCTACTCTCTTGCCTCCCTTCCACCAGCGTGGTCTAAAGGTTATGGTGTTCAACCATCGCATCGTCGTGGGATCGAATCTGGGATGCAGCGGTTGCGATTCAATGGAGGCGATATGCTAGAGGCATGCATACTTGTATATAGGAGCAACTTAAAAAACCGCAGGCGGCCGAAATTTCCAGACTTCTACTATGGCATTGCTCATAATGATATCGTGGTTAAGGGACATCATACCCCCCAAATTATTATTATTATTATTCACTAGCGTCTCTTGTTGCAGGTCCCAGCTGATGACTCTAAGCGTCCGTACAGCCCGACGCGCGGTGGCGGTTTCAGTTACAGTCCTCCTCCCGTGGATGCCGCCTCCGGTGGGCAGTCCACAGTCGCCAACGGGTTCGGCCCGGCAGCGGTGACGGAGCAGTGCGCCAGGCCACGGGCCTTGCCTTCACCTACTCTCCTACCAGGACCTCGGGTGTGCCCAGCTGGAACGAGGCATCCGGTCGCAGCCCCACCGGCCTTAGCCCGACAGGGCCGCAGTCCAACCGGCCGTAGCCCCACGAGTCCCAGCGCCAGCATCACCACTCCCCTCACGACCGGGCAGACGGCAACGACGACGACACCCGTGTCGGGCAAGAGCCTGGACTCGCCGTCGTCCGAGTCAGTCCGAAAGCAGCCTGGACGAGTATCGGGAGGAGCGGCCGCCGCGGCCATCACGGATCCCTACCAAGAAGGACGGCGCCACCCGCCCCAAGGTGGTGGGCGTGGTGCCTTCGCTGGCAGCGAGCCGTTCGCCACCGGGAGAAAAGTCGGGGAAGCTCATCTGCAGCAGAAGGTACCTTGCTTTGTGACACAGTGTGTTGCATTGAGGGCAGATTGCGATGTTGAGGCGAGTTTGGACAGCCATACAGTGCGAAGTGAGGTTACATAGTCTGAAAATCAATTATGCGTTTATTACAAGTGCGTTCTGCAATTACGATGAAAAATTCTAGGAACAGGGAGTGTTTTTTCAGTCAATGTTTCGACAAGTGGTTTTTTATTTCTTGGGAGGCAGCAACTGCAGACTTGCTGCCTTAAAAAATTGCCCGCACGTCTCCAAAGGGAATCGCAAGAAAATGCGAATGGGTTTCTTGCGCTGGGAGTTTATGTCGTACTAATTTTAATGGCGTAAATTAATGATGAGACTGGGATTTATACCATAAACATTTATTTACATATTCATCAGCCAGCGAACGGTGGAGAGAGAGGCCCATGCTTCACTCCATTTCTATATACGTACGAGCGAGTGGGACAGTGGTGCGCAGGAAGGAGAGAGAGTGAAGGGCGAGAGAATGAGCGGGGAAGCACTGCACCTACCCTCTCCTAAACTATCTCCACACCCGGGGGAGCTTTGCCGAGCTCCCGAGCTTTGCGAGCGCCCTCACACGCCAGAGCGCAATCCTCCTCTCCACTGCTCCGCCTGCACCAACTGCTCTGGAAGACGGGGATAAGCGCCCGCGCCCGCAGATGTTGCTATGGAGAAGTAGTGTGAGTGGAGATATAACACCTGCTGGCGCGGACATCGCCGGATGCCTGACATAACCCGACTAAGAAATGCATTTGCATTTTAAAAAATTCAGCAGATTTTACATACCTTGGGAATCCACTTCATGTGAAGCATGCGGAGGGGAGGTGACAGTGTTGCAATTTTTTTATTGAGCGACACGTCATGAAATGTCGCTACATATTTGTGCAGATGTTGGATGCACAGACATAAGTTGAAGAGTTGCAGATTTTTATGTTGCCGCAGAGATTGCTCCTACTAATTTTTTTTACAAAGAGAACCAACGAAACGCTGTGTGGGTGTCTGCAGTGCCTCGCACACATGCCTCTCGTGCACGGGCACGAGCCGAGAGACTGACCTGGTTTTTGTTGAGAAAGTGACACGTGTGTGGAACGCTTTAGCAAACTCGTCTTCGTATTATATCTACTTTTCTGGGCACATGTTTGCCCTTAATAAATCATTGTGTGTGTTCCCCCTCTTGTGTTATGTAACATTTTGGTGGAGGTACTGGCTATGATTGGAAGTGCCCTTGGCGCAAGAGAGAGGAGCCCTGACCTTCAGTGATTGGAGCCTGACGAACTAACCCAAGTACACCAGCATTCAAGCCGCCGCCTCCTAGGTGAGTCATCTGAATTCGGACCACTCCTCAGTGCTCCAGCAGCACAGGCAGCAGTGATTGCCAACTCCAGAGCAATGGCCAATGCAGCTTCAGCATCTGAACTCATCGTCATCAGTGTCTACCCCTTGCTTACATGAACCCTTCCACGGTGACACGCACGAAGATGTAGAAGACTGGCTGGAGCATTTCGAGTGCGTCGCAAGGACCAATGCTTGGGATGAGGCAAGGAAACTGGGCCGCATGTACTTTGCGTTGGAAGATGGAGTGAGGATATGGTTTGAGAACCATGAAAGGGCAATAACAACGTGGGAAGACTTTCAGCGGCATTTGCTTGCTGCGTATACCAGCACCGATCGCCGGGAAAGGGTAGAAAATGCCCTTCAATCGAGGAACCAACGCACGGACGAGTGTCAGCATGTATATCGAGAACATGTCCCACCTCATCAACAAGCCGATCCCAACATGACAGAAGAAAAGAAAGCATGCCATTTGATGCGTGGAGTCAAGCAGGACTTATTTGCAGGCCTGGTTCATAACCCTTTACGAGCCGTTGCTGAATTCCACACAGAAGCCACGACCATCGAAAGAGCACTACAGCAGCGTGCCTGTCACTACAATCGGGATGCCAGTAGTGAACCAGTAGCAAAGCGAGACAACAGTAGCAAGATATTGAAGGAGCTGGTGCGGTCCATCGTAAAAGAGGAGCTTCGAAACCTTCTCCAACCGCAAGTCGTGCCGACAGTTTCATCCCTCACATCCGTCATCCGTGATGAACTTTGTCATGCCATTCTTCAGCCGGAACCAGAAGTGCAACCTATTCGACTTCAGCAACCACTGCAGGAATGCCGTGTACCTACGTACGCGGATGCTATGCTAACCTGCCGGGCACAATGTCTCGTTCGCGACTCCCGGTGCGCAGCCAGCTCCGCCCAGCTCACCTTTTTCTCGAAGAGCAGAGAGCACGGAAAAGCGAGGTGTGGTGCACACCTGACAGGGCACCGCTCTGTTTTCACTGTGGAGAAACTGGACATCTTTACCAACACTACCTATACCCAAGAGCCAGTCTGCGTGGGTTTTCTGTGTATGCACCATGCCCGCGTAATTGTGAAAGGCCTGTAGAAATAGAGGAGCACCTTCCAACACAGCAATCTCCAGCTGCTAGCTTTCAGCACCAGTCAAGGTAACCAGCACGAAATCGTTATCGATCGCCAAGCCCGCGATATTCAAGTTCACCTTCAAACTCACGAAACCATTGATCAATGAGCCTGCTTCGGGAAAACTGAATCCAGCGACCTGGGGAGGCAAGGCCGCTGATTTCAGACAAAGCGAAGAAAACGACGACCAGCCGAGAGGGAAAATACTACGAGACCTAATAAGCGAATTCGCTGAATGTTTTTCTATGTCGTCAAAAGTATATCGCACACAGATCAGGAAGCACCGAATCATAACAGAGGAAACAACCAAGCCAGTGTATCAACACCCTTACAGAGTTTCCCCGGAAAAACGGGACGTTATAATGAGTCAGGTGCAAGAGATGCTGCAGGACGATGTCATTCAGCCATCTAGCAGCCCGTGGGCATCGCTGGTAGTTCTTGTGAGAAAACAAGACCACACGTTGAGATTTTGTGTAGACTACTGGAAACTAAACAGCGTCACCAAGTGGGATGTATACCCCTTGTCACGTATCGATGACACATTGGATCGGCTACGGCATGCCAGATATTTCTCTTTTGCTTGAATTGAAAAGCGGCTATTGGCAAACTGAAGTGGATGAAAGAGACCGCGAAAAGACCGCTTTCGTAACCGTGGATGGCTTGTATGAGTTTAAAGCACTACCTTTCGGCCTACATTCATTCCAGCGCATGATGGACAGTGCCCTCACGGGGCTGTAGTGGCAGTTATGCCTAGTCTACTTGGATGTTGTTGTGGTATTTTCCACAACGTTTGACCAGCACGTAGAGAGACTGCGGTTAGTGCTTCAGGCTATCCAGTCAGCCGGCTTGACAATTAAACCAGGAAAGTGCCAGTTTAGATTTGAGAAGCTTCATTTTCTGGGACACGTAATCAGCGCGGAAGGTGTTGGCCCTGATCCTGGCTGTCGCAGGATTTTCGAAGCCCAAGGACAAGAAAGAGGTGTGTCGGTTTTTGGGCTTATGCGCTTGCTATAAACGATTTGTAGAAAATTTCTCGAAAATCGTTGAACCTCTAACCAAACTCACAAAAGACGAAGAATCATTCGTTTGGGGTACAGGACATGAAGAAGCTTTCAAAAAATTAAATAAATGTCTACAAAGTCCGCCGATCTTTGCCCACTTTGATGAGACCGCTGACACTGAAGTCCATACAGATGCAAGCAATCTTGGTCTCGGCGCGGCACATGTGAAATGGCAAAATGGAGAAGAAGAAGTCATAGCTTATGCCAGCTGCACCCTATCAAAAGCTGAAAAAAACTATTCCACGACAGAAAAAGAGTGTTTGGCAGTGGTATGGGCTATCAGCAAGTTCAGACCATACCTCTACGGAAGGCCGTTCCGTGCCGTGAGCGACCACCACTCACTTTGGTGGCTGGCGAACTTGAAAGACCTGTCGGGACGTATGGCCGGATGGAGCTTCAGATTGCAAGAATACTACATTACTGTTGTATATGGGTTTGGGCGAAAACACGGTGATTCTGATTCCTTATCACGCTCGCCACTCAACTCTTCTTCAAAAGAAGACAACTCGACATTTCTCTGTGTAATGGAAGCCTCAAGTATCACGGAGCTTCAACGAGCTGATGCAGAATTGCTCCCATTGATCAAACACCTCGAAGGGCATGACAACTGGGTCCCACGTGTATTTAAGAGAGCATTATCTTCAGTTCTGTCTCCATGAAAATGTGCTATACAAAAGGAACTTCGGACACAAGGAGAAATTCTACTCGTCGTTCCGTTAGCAATGAGGCCCAAAATCTTGGAAGCTTTTCATGATGAACCATCATCTGATCACCTGGGCAGTAAGGCGGACATTTGCCAGTAATTCATCAGAAGTATTAACTGGCCCAAGCTGTTAGCATCTGTGCAGCATTTTGTCAAGACATGTCGTGAATGTGAAAGACGCAAAACACACCTCTAAAGACGGCCGGCCTGCTCCTGCCAATAGACCCGCCTGCTCTTGCGGTAGTTCTTTTTCCGTAAAAACAATACAGGGAATGGAACCGTCTACCGGATGATCTCGTCAATGAAACTGATAATGAATCCTTTTTTTCTTCCTTGTAACAACGCCTATAATATCACTGCCACTAAGAATGGTTTGTTGTCTCGAAGCGTGTGGGTGTTTACAAATGCATGACTGTGACGTTGTTTCGCTCACCAACATACGAGTGTTTTTCTTTTTCTCTTAAAATATCTCAAGTGCTGTTGTATTTGTTGTATCTGTTGTTTTGATTGAAAACTATATAGTCAATTATTATGTGTACCTCCCCTACGTAATGCCTTACGACGATGTAGGTGAAATGTAAATAAATAAGATAAATATACCATTTGAACAAGTTGGAATGGATCTTCTAGGGCCATTTCCAATATCATCATCGGGCAAGAGGTGGATTATCGTTGCCACCGATTACTTAACGCGCTACGCTGAAACAGGCAGCCTTGAGCGAGAAACGGCAGCTGAAGTAGCCAAGTTTTTCGTGCACAGCATAGTGTGCCCCAGGGCAGTGTCTTGGGTCCATTACTCTTTCTTTTATATATTAATGGCATCGTCACCATCGTCACACCTGGAACACAAATAAGACTGTTTGCAGACGACTGCGTTGTGTTTCGTACAATTAAATCTGTGGATGATCAGAAGAAACTAGATTTCAGCTTGAATAACATATCCTTGTGGTGCGAAAAATGGGGCATGCACCAAAGGTAGTAATCACTGACCGAGGAGCAGCCTTCACGACGGAGTTGATGCAGTGTTTGATGATAATGACGAACACCAGTCATAGGAAAAGCACTGCATACCATCACCAAACGAATCGGTTAACAGAACGCCTAAATCGCACCATCGCTGACATGCCGTCGATGTACAATGACTTGGAGCATAAGACGTGGGATGAAATCCAGCCTTACGCAACATTTTCCTATAATACAGCCCTCCAAGAGACCTCCTCCGTCACTCCATTTCAGCTTGTCTGTGGTCACATAGTCAATTCAACTCTCGACGCCATGCTACCAGTAGACAACGACCTGCAGAGAGCTGAAGAAGCACGCCAGTTTGCAAGGCACCAAATACGTCAACAACAGTTCAAGGACGGGAACTACTACAACCTGTGCCGGCCTGCAGGGGAGTTGAGTACCATCCAGATGATCAAGTATGGATCTGCACACCAATACGACGACGCGGCCTGTCAGAAAAGCTCCTTCAACAGTACTTTGGTCCACACAAGGCCCTGCGCCGACTGAGTGACTTAACTTATGAAATAATCCCGGATGGACAAGAGCGCCTAAACGGCAAAACCATGTGGAGGTCGTCAACATTGTTCGCATGAAGCCAAACCATGAAAGAGAATTAAGCATATAGCCTCTCGACAACCTCCCGAATCCACGCATCGCGCATTTCGGAGGGGCAGTAATGCCGCAGAGATTGCTCCTACTAATTCATTTACAAAGAGAACCAACGAGACACTTTGTGGGCGTCTGCAGTGCCTCGCGCATTTTGGTGCAGGGCAGCGCACGCCTCACGAGCACGAGCCCTGAGATTGACCTGGTTTTTGTTGAGAAAGTGACATGTGTGCGGAAGGCTTTAGCGCACTCGTCTTCGTATCGTAGCTACTTTTCTGGGCACAAGTTCGCCCTTAGTAAATCGTTGTGTGTGTTCCCCCTCTTGTAAAACGTGACAATATAGCTGGCACTGCAACCACTGTCAACATTTCATGAACATTAGCGTCTATTTCAAGATAAGTTCTGAGACCTGGCATAGCTCTGTGGTAGAATTCTTGATTACCACCCAGAATGGTTGGGTTCGATTCCAGCCGGGACCGTGACATTTATTCCTTGCATTAGTCAGGTCAACGCTAGCGCTGTGAGGTTTTTCTTATCGCTCACGCATTAAAATTTCTCATGTGTGTTCTCGTTGTTCCTCAGTACATACTAAATGTTAATCACCTGTGCCACATACCCGCATACTTCTGACACATACCCGCCCACGGATATGTGCTGCTGTCTAACGGGAGGTGTTTGATGACGTATGCAAAGGGATTGCGACATTATTCATGTCTTGACCAGCGCGTCATATTTGTCAAACCATTTTACCCTCCAATGTAAGTGTTTGTTCACGCCAAGTTAAGGGGGTGATCACAAGAGCACACAGGCATAAGCGGATGGATGAATAGATGGATGGGCAGACGGATGGACGGATGGATGGACGGACAAACAACACCTGATGTTGTGTTGACTTTTCCAACTTGGGAAAAAGTAACATGAACATTTATTCAGAACACGCATAGTTACGTGAATGCGCACGTGACCACCACGCGAGCGACGCCGGGATGGCTTCCCCTCAGTCTCCTGCTGCCCCAACTTCCCCAGCAATGAGGGCGAAGTACGAAGCAAAGGATTTGGCTACGAAGGTGATAATATTGAAGGCGTTGCAAGCGGGAGCATCTGGAAAAGAAGTGATGGAAAAGTTCAATGTGAAGAAAAGCATTCTGAGCACTTAGGTGAAGAACGAAGAGCAGATCATGCAAGCGTATGACAGGGACATGATTGGCGACCAAAGGAAGAGGCTTCGAATGGTAGCGCATCCCAAGCTAGAAAAAGCGCTGTTGCGCTGGAAGAGAAGTTCGCGGTGACTGTGAACATTGACTCCTTCAATGCGTCGGAAAGCTGGTTCGACCGCTTCAAGAAGCGACACGGGCTGGTGTTCCGCAACGTGTGTGGTGAAAGAGGTGCGGTTGACAAAATTGTTGTGCAGGACTGGCGGTCTGGACTATCGACCAAGCGCCTTTCTATGTACGAGCCGTGCAACATTTCCAACCCTGATGAGACAGCGCTGTTCTATGAGGCTCTGCCTGACAAGACAATTGTGTTTAAGGGGGACCCGTGCGTCGGTGGAAAACGAAGTAAAGAGCGCGTGACAGTTCTGGCTGCTAACATGATCGGCACAGAGCGGCTGCCGCTGCTGATGATTGGGCAAAGCTGTGAAGCCAAGATTTTTTAAGAATATTGAGCAGCTGCCTGTCGACTACCGGTTCAACAGAAAGGCTTAGATGACTGCCGAACTCTTTCAAGCCTGGCTGCGTCAGTTCGACCGCCGCTTTGCGGCCAAAGCTCGGAAGGTGTTGTTCGTGCTAGACAACTGTAGTGCGCACTCGAAGGTATCCAGGCTCGAGAACATTGAACTGCTATTCTTGCCTCGATGATAACGGCTTCCCTGCAGCCGATGGACCAGGGAATTGTATACGTCGTGAAAAGCCGCTATTGACGGCAGGTACTCGAGTGGATGTTGCTCTGCATGGAGTCGGGCAAGCAGTACGAAGGACGCCTGCTAAGCGCAGTACACATTCAGACATGCGTGTGGAACAACACACCGCCTGCAGTAGTCGCAAACTGCTTTAGGCATAGCGGCTTCGTGCACAAGGCTGCTGATCCGGGGGTGGTGGCCGATGAGGAATCCGTGAAGAGCAAGACCGTCGCTATGTGAGCATCATGCCAGCTGATGTGCCTCGCGGCGATTACTTCGCAATTGACAGCGATGTTGCCGTGGCCGGCACAGTGACCGACAGCGATATTGTCGCCGATCTCTTGGACGGCGAAGGGGAATCGGCTGACGAGAATGTAAGTGGTGCTTACGAGCGTCCACGCCACACTATGACGGAGACTGCACATGTGTTGGCTATTTTGGAGTACATATGCATGCTTTTCTCAGACAGTGTGCGCGGACTAAGCCACCTGCAGGAACTTCGCAAAATTGTGACTTCATTGCACATTGCGTCTGTGAAGCAGACCGCGATCACAGACTCTTTTGAGAAATGAAAGTCTGATGGTGTAGGAGACATTTTTCAAGTGTTTTGTTCGTACTTGCGATAATTCGTACCCTCGGTTAATGTGGACATATTCTCCAGTTCCGTTAAGTGCGAATTAGCGGGGTTTTACCGTAGTTCTGTTTAGGCAGCATTTCTGTTTAACTGATTTCTATTTACTCAGAGTCTACTGTACTCAAAGTCACCTTACCAAAAGTCACATGACCCTTATGTGACATGATGTATTTTGATTACAGCATCGCAGGGTTGTTGCTTGGACAAAGCAGGGCCGTGGTAGTGCAACACTAGTGGAGCTATTATCGCGTGGTTCATTTCAGCCACTGCTAATTGACTGAAGCTTGAAGATTAGAGTGCCCCTTGCTACTGGTCTTTCCGCAGTGTCGTTTTGATGTGATGAAGCTTCCACAACTGTCCAATAGGAATAAGAAAAATGGAATGCACTTCACTGGGGCAAACGCAGCCTCCCGTGATATGCTCTTGGCCGAATGAATCTCGAAGGCCATGCATTCACTCTTATTCTGTGATCACTTTAGCCCTCAAATTTAGTTTACCCTGGCTTCCCATCGTTTAACGCACCTGCACCATAATGTCATGGATTGCAGATTTTTGCAGCAACTGAACATGCTTTCTTGTCATCTGGCTCAATTGAACGTGTTCAATTTGATGGACTGTCCTAGAACAGCTTCCCAAATGACGGCCAGAAAGGTTCACGGGTAGGTGGGATGTGGACGGGGGGGACGTGCAGTTCACTGTAGAGGTCAAGGTAATCTAATTAGTGTCAAGTGAGAGCATAGGCTTTCTCCAGTGCTCTGCATAGCGTTGCCTAAAGGGGCCGTCTGCCTGTTTCCTTTCCTCAGGACACCAGCAAGTCACGAATTCCAGGTCTGCCCAGCCAGCAGCCGTCGTGGAGCAGCAGTGCCGACGCTGGTGGCCGAGGTTCCGACAAGTCTGGCATCAGACCACCTGGCGCCACGTCCCCTTTGCAGTCCAAACCTCCAATGGACTTTCGAAAGGCCACTTCACCCGATCAGGTAGGGATCAATCTTTTGGCTCCTTCCCCAGAAAATTCCATACCGCCAGTTGCAGAAATTGCAATGAAAGCTACCTGGTTCCTTATCAACCTCAGCTTTTGGTGGCAATGCCTTTTCTACTGTCGCACATGTGAGGACGTATGATGAGTCTTGAACGAAAGTGCAGGACAATAGGTGACCAGTAAAACAGCGAGGAATTGTGGGGTGCGTCACCTGCTGCCGTCTTCCGGTTCGAGAAGAGCAGACGACGGCAAACCGCTTCGCCTCCTGCCTCAGATTATTCGGGATTAGCACGCGCAGTCGCCCGCTTATCTTCGTCCTGATTAACCATGGTCGTTTGCTCAGTCGTTGGCTGCTCCAACTCGAGCGTGAAAGGCAAATGCATGCATTGATCCCCATGAAACAAAGAAAGCAAAATGAGGTGGGCCGCGGCTGTGAAGAGAGCCACCGCGACAAGTAGACTTTGGGTACCGAACGTTTAAGTCAGAGTGTGCGAAGACCATTTTATCACAGGTACGTATGTATTACGCACTAATAAAAAGCTTACGCATTGATTTGCTGTGATATTATATGGAGAAATAAACTGTCGCGCAGGCGCACCTAGCAAAAATGTTATGGAAACGTGCGGGCGAAATCTACCTGCCATACGAGATGAGCACCGGCAATCGTACCCATATGATATAGGACAAAAAAACGTGAAAGGTTCACTCAAGAGTAAGTTTACACGAAGCGCTGGACGAGTTCATTTGCGTTTATCTTGGTTAAACTGCGTACCAGGACGGCACACAAAGTAAGAACTGCGTTAAACACGCGCAGGGTTTCGATTATTCAGCGCTGTCTATGTTTGACTGTATTGTTTATGTGCCGCCGTGCCTCGCAGCTTGATCAAGATTTGTGTTCCAATAAGCATCAGGCTTCGACTAAGAAATAGGTGGTCCAAATTTCCGGGGCCCTCCACTACAGCGTCTCTCATAATCATTATGGTGGTTTTGGTACGTTAAACCCCACGTATCAATGAATCAATCAATTTACTAAGAAATGCATCTTATAGCGCGCTGAAGGCTAAAAAAAAGGACATGTCAACGCACTCAATAAGTGCTGCACTTCACGCCGACAGACCGACGATGTCGGCCGACGCAGCGATCCCGAAAATGAACTCTTAGCACACTGCTACAGTCATCCCCATTCCCTGATATCTTTGAAATGGTAATTTTTATCTGCAGTAACGTATCATACTATGAAAACTGTCTTCTGTATCGAGGGATCTGCTAGCGAAACTGACAGTATACCTCTGAGCTACTTAAGAGCATTGCAGATCATTATTAGTGTGATAAAAAAGTTTTCTTATCTTTCATAGCCTTTCGTAGCTTGTCATTGTCACAGTCAGGATTAGGCAGAAACAACAAAAAACCAACTTCTGAAGCACTGACATTGACCGGAAAGATGCTTTTTTAAATGGAGCAGTACAAAAATGTACGCGTGCCGCTGCTAACCCGCATGGTGTGTCGAACCGGAAGCCGTCATATCCCACAGTTCCCTGTGATTAGCCCATATTACCGGTCACCTATTAAAAGCAGGTAGTCTAACGGAGTAACGCGATTTTGCTAAGTAACGCGATTTTAACTACTGTATTTACTTGCGTAGCAGGAGCAGGCGTAACCAGTGATTATTGTTTTCTACATGTTGGCTACGGTTCGGCACCTGTTATTATAATCTGGTTGTCAAACACAAGCCGTAATTTTAGAGTGAAACCCTAACTAAACCTCAACCTAAAGAAAATATTGTTGGCTTAGAATGAAAACGGCTCTTAGTTTAAAGCATCTGAGGGATCATGGTGTATGGATTTCGTTCCTCACTTTACCAGGTTTCTGTACAAATCAATGGAGGTGGTAGCTTCTGCAAAAAACATACCCCCCATTGAGCTAGCACACCCCACATTACACTGCCCATAAACTTGCTTTCTCGGTGTAAATAAAACAGTTAATTCGACACTCTCAACATGTTTGTACACTCAAACCTCGTTATAATGAAGTTGAAGAGGAGCCACAATTATTTCGTAATACCGATTATTTAGTTATATCGATTATAACAGTTTGTGGCAATGTACGCTCAGATGGGTGCACACCTATAAGCATGCAAAGAAGGAAACCGCCTTGGGGCCGATGTACCACTACGGGACCACACGTGCAACAGAAAATAAACACAGTCCAATCTTATAATTCGAACAAGCTTAATTCGAGCTTCCGGTTAATCCGAACTCGCGCTGTGGTCCCGTCAAAGCTATGTGTATTCCAATGGGCGAAAACGCCCTGTAATTTGAACGCGCAAGCACTTGCAACAGGTAATTCGAACATACCAGGCTCCGAACATGCTCTCAGCACCATGCCCAATCCCTCGGGCGGCACCTCTCAACGCTGCGCGGGAAGAAGGAAAAAAAAAAAAAAAAAAAGAAAGAAAGACTGGCAGATTGCTTACTCTCTCACAAATGCCGATCTGCGATGGGCCTGTGCCATGCTTCTCTCTTTTCGTGGACTTGCTCCGAGGATTTCAAGCTGAACGGTTGTGCCGCCCGCGATCTCCGACGCCAGCGTAGCTCTCGCCGACTGGTTTGTCCTCCGCGAACTTCTGGCGCCGTGAAGCCCTTTCTGTGTGGTGCCCCGTCCTCGGACTTCTTCAACCGGCTCCCAACTTTCCTATCTCCTTTTTTTCTGTTGCTTGCCTGTCTTATTTCTTTGCCTAACTATATCTTTCCTATATTCTTTATATCCTCTCTCCTCCCATCCCCTACAAGGCGCTGAGCCGTGCATTCGCAAGGGCTGTAGAAAATAGTGCCTTCATCTTTTTCCAAGCAACCACCAATTCAATTTTTTTCCACCTCTGCACGTAGAGACCCTTCTCCTTTCAAGGCCACGCACGGAGAGAGAGAGGGAATAAAAGGAAAGCTGTCACGGAGAGTTGGCTCTCTCTCTAATGACGATCTGCTTCTATCCGCGTGGAAACGTTCCTCCTTTCTTGGTGTAGATGGTAGCAGCGGAGATGCAGTCGTTGCCGTGGTCTTTAGAGAGTGCTGCCGCTGGACTTAGCTGCACGCTACTATGCCTTGCAAAGTGCGTGCGAAATTGATTGACTCACTGCGAGGCAAACGTGTGCAGACGGGCATCACCGATTACTTCAATTAGTGACGGATGTCCTCTGATTTGTGAATAAGTGCAACTCTTCTGAAGCTTCCCAATCGTGTGTTCTTAAGTGAGAGGGAAATCGCTTTGCACCGCAGCGCCGCTTCTCGGTCATGTGACCAGCTGAGCGCTTCCTCAATCCTCTCTGTTGGCTGTGTGAGGAGGGCGACTCTCTCGGCCGCGCCTTGCGTAGCTGTAAAGTCGGCGCGGAAGTTTTGAAAAAGCCGCGTGGAACGAGCGTCAAACTCTGCAGAAAACGATATACATAACACACAACGGTCGTTGTTTTTTCATAGACTATTTGATAGACTAATTTAGTTGGTTGTATTTATTTACCAGCCAATTTTACTTCGTTACAACAAGGTTTAATATGCATGGTTCTGAATAGAGCTTTCAAGGAGAATTTTATTTACTTTGTTATATTCATTATTTCGTTATATCCTGTTACATTATAACGAGGTTTGAGTGTATTTTTCAGCAAAGGTGCATGGGATTTTAGCCTTTATGTCAACGAGTTCCACTTGACACCAGATGTGATGATGTGCTCCTACTTTGAAAGTCAATTTCAGTGTGGTCATGCGTCAGATTTAATCCTTCCATGTCATGTGTGTTGTTTGTGGGACGTGGTGCAGTGGTGTACTCTTCTAAGTCTAGTATTGAAGCTGAAAGTTCACATAGTTTCTGAAATGTGCTGTCACATTAGCGCATAATGTCTGACTGCATCAGTGGAGCGCTGTTTCTCATTTCCGTACATGATTCCACGTCTCATGTGCTCATTTAAATACATCCTGTTGAATTTACACCACTCAATCTTGCATATTTTTTCTCAGATTCGTACCTTTACTCCAAGAAAAGATGCAATAAGAAAGGCTTATTTTCATCCTACAACACCACTCGTCATTGGGCTTGTTTGCGTTTCCTTTCTTAAAAACTCGGCACTCATGATTCTCCTATCATGAATCCTACGTGGCTTGGAAATACTGGTGTACAGCAGCAGTGCTAGGAAAGGCATGTGCGATAGATGGTAGTGATAAAATGACACTTGCCAAGGGGTCTAGCGGCTAAGGCACTCCGCTGCCGACCCGCAGTTTGCGGGATTCGAATACGGGCCGTGGCGTTCGCATGCTTGATAGAGGCAGAAATGCTTGGGGCCCCTGTGCATAGATTTAGGAAAAGAACCCCAGGTGGTCGAAATCTCTCGAGCTTTCTACTGCACCGTCTCTCATAATCATGGTGGTTTTGGGACGCTAAACCCCATCAATTATATTACTAGTCAAACCCCTTTATAAGAGACACGGATATAAGAGACAAATGGGTATGAGAGACACCTCTGTGCCTATAGTAAAATACAGGTTGATAAGAAAATGCATACGAGGTACCCTGCTTATAAGAGACATCTCGTATAAAAGACGAAGAATCGCTGCCTGGAGCATGCCTCATATGAAGGGATGCAACTGTATTATTATATTATCGAGTCAAAATTACACGCTTTTCACTTACAGTTCTTTGTTTTTTTTTCCTTTTTCTTCCAAAGCGCACAGTGCATCAAAGTTTACGAAGGTGGTCTATGGTCAGCTAGCTTGCTTTTCTAACTTTTTGGCCTCTCGAGTTCAGCTAGTACAGACTTTTGAGCAAAAGCTCCCCATAGGGCCCATAGATTTCAGCCGCAGGGCCACCGCCGTAGCCACTATTACATAACATTACCGCACGTGTGCTACCGGCCCGAGTCGCATGTTAGACTTGTCGGTCGTGTTTAGTTTTATTTTAATTAATGAAAGTGAGCTCCAAATAAACACTTTCCAAATAAACACTAACACTGTTCTC